ATTTGGCCCAAGGTAAGAAAATCTCAGTGTCATGGCTTCTGCCCGATCGGTGTGGAGCCGGAGGTGGGGTGAGGGCGGGTAGGGGACTCTTTGGGAAGACCACCCAAATAGGCTCATTCTCTCCTGCCCACATTTTAGCTTCCTTGTTATGTCTGAGATTTCAGAAAAGTGTCTTCTGCAGCTCGTGTTATACTGTGAAGAATTAGGGCAGTGGAGGAAGTGGCCTCCTCTCCTCCGGCCCTCTGTTGAGGTCAGCTTGATGACCTCACCTTGGCAGCCATTTCCTATGGAGGGCGCTGGTCTTGGGGTGGAGGGGACAGTCAGCCCCACTCTCCACACACACTTCCCCCACATGACCAGGGGAAGGGGAGCCTTGGAAGAGAGGCTCCTGAAATACTTGGGTCCAACCCACATCACCAATATTCACACAACAGGGCAAGTGCATTTTGGGGGGTTTAATGGTTTCCTTTCATCCCCCACCCTATTTGCTCTGGGCAACCGTGGCCAGTCCTTCTCTCCCTGGGCGATCCGTGGAGGTGCCCCATGGCCGCTCTCCCAGTGGATGTCTTCTCTGCCACCCTGGTTCTCACCGCATTGTTGCATTTGCCAGCACACATGATGGAGAGTGTGTCACGGTGTGCTGCCTCCCCTAAGTGCTGGGCTCCCCACTCCTGTGCCTGCAGGACCCGACACACCGAGAACTGCGTTGCCCTCCCAACATCCCTGGGGGATTTGACCAATGACTCCTTCGGTTTGACAGCTCTTTAAGAAGCCCTCTCTTCCTAGCTCTCCTGGGAAGCCAGGGAAGCCACGAGAACCAACAGAGAAGACAATGAGGGAGGCAGGGAATGTTAGCTCTTTTTTTCCTTTTTTAAAAATATTTTACCAATTTTTTGACAGAGAGAGAGAGAGAGAGAGGCAGGCAGAGGGAGAGGGAGAAGCAGGCTCCCCGCTGAGCACGGAGACTGATGTAGGGCTCTATCCTGGGACCGTGGGTTCATGACCAGAGCCCAAGGCAGATGCCCAACCCACTGAGCCACCCAGGTGCCCTGGAAAGGTTAGTTCTTAGAGGCGTTCCTCTTCTCAAGTTTCTGCCTCTGAATCAAGTTCAGACTCCTTAACCTGGTTCCCAAGACCGTGATCTGAATCCTGCTTTCCTTCTGGCCCCGTTTCTCACCACTTCCCCTTCCTTTTCCCTTGCGGTTCCCCAAACGTGCCTGCTATCATCTCCATAAATACTGTGCCCTTGACCTGAAGATGGTTCCCATAGCCTCATCCACTTTTCTCCCCTTTCTTTTGACTGCCTCCTGTTCATCATATGGGATTTCTCGATGATATTTCTCCCACGTGTGCTCCCAACACCTGTGAAAGTTGCCCTCTTCTGCGCTCCCAGAACACCCTGTCCTACCATCTCAAAGATACCGCTGAACACTGTGATGTCTGTTGGCATCCCTATCTCCCTGCTCAGACGGCATAGTCCTTGAGAACAGGAACTATACTTTATATAGATTTTATTGATTTTATTTGATTAATCTGATTTATTTGATTTGAATATCTGATTTGATTTGATTTGAATTAAATCATTTGATGAATATTTGATTTGAAAATCTGATTTATTTGATTACATCAAAAATATTGATTTTATTTGCTCTTCTTTTGAGAGTGTGCAGGAGGTATTAAATAATTTATTGGATGAATGAATAGTGAAACATTCCTGGAATCAAACCTGTATGATTGTCTCTTCCTTTTAGATGTGTTTTTCCCAAAGGGGGACCCTTTCTGCAGAGTTCATAGACTCCGGATGGACCTACCCCATTGGTCCTCTGGCCTGACTCTTAGGGTCAGCCTGGCTGAGGCTTGAGCTAGGACTCTCCCTACATAAGCATCTGATGGTGGTGGGCTGCTCAGGGCTTTTTAAACCTTAGTATGTGTGGACATCCTGGGGTCCCGTGAAAGGCAGGTTCCAGCCTAGTCGATGAGGGTAGGTCCTGAGATGTTAATGCTGCTGGCTGGGGGCTCACACTTGGAGTGGAAAGGCACTGACCAGGTGCCTTATGCAATCGCTTTCACTGATTCCAAGATTCCAATTTACAAAAATTAATTGGCAAAAGTAGAAAGTACTGAAGCAGCCTTTCTAGGAGACACTTGGGTTTTTCAATGCTTAATTATATTAAGAACAGAAGTGTCCTTTTTAAAAAACATGTAATCATCACTGTAGGTTGCTTCCTCCTATTCTTATACCCAACCTTCTTCTCCCTTGTCTGTCTCAGACAGAGATTGCTAAAGCGCAAATGCTCACATCCCCAGCCTCCCTTACTGTTCTTTTTTTTTTTTTTTGAAGATTTTATTTATTTTGACAGAGAGAGAGAGCACAAGCAGGGGGAGCAGCAGAGGGAGAGGGAGAAGCAGGCTCTCTGATGAGCAGGGAGCCTAATGCGGGGCTCAATCCCAGGACTCTGGGATTACGACCCGAGCCAAAGGCAGACGCTTAACCGAAGCGCCCCTCTCCCTTACTGTTCTTGTGGAGAGGGATGTGGTTAGCCCTTGTGTTCTGCCTTAAATGCTAATGTGCTAGCCTGAGCTGCAGCACTAATTTCAGCAGTTCAAAGATAACAGGCTAGTCTTTGTGATTCTCTCAGCCTTTCTCATGTGCTTTTTACCTCATGGTCACAGAATAGCTGCTGCTGCTCACTAAGATCTAACATCCCTCTCTCTCCTTTTAAGGAATCTCTACACCCAGTCTGGGGCTCGAACTCATGACCCTAAGATCAAGGGTCACATGGTCTACCATCTGAGCCAACCAGGCAGCCTCCAACATCTCTTATTATCACTGAAATCTAGTCCAGATATTTTTTATCTTAATTTTTTCTACAGTTGACTTACTTGAATCAGAATCATATTATGTTTGGTTATTTTTACCAATGTTATATGTCTTAACCTCCAAATTTCTTATGAGATAAAAATAAATTCTTACTTGTTTAAGTTCCCTTATCAGAGTTTTATGTTTTTGCAGTCGAACTGTAATACAGTATTACCATTTTAAATATTAAAACGTATTCTCTCTCATTAGCAAATTAACATACCCTGCTTATAGAAATCTTTAAAAATGTGGAAAAGTAGGAACAAGGAAAAGAAAATTAGGGAATCCCATCATGGAAGTACTGTTAACATTTTTGTGTATTTTCTTCTGGTGTTGTTTGTACAGTTGGGATAACATATTTTAAAAATACCATTTTTGGGGCTTCTGGGTGGCTCAGTGGGTTAAAGCCTCTGCCTTCGCCTCGGGTCATGATCCCAGGGTCCTGCGCATCGGGATCTCTGCTCGGCAGGGAGCCTGCTTCCTCCTCTCTCTCTCTGCCTGCCTCTCTGCCTACCTGTGATCTCTGTCTGTCAAATAAATAAATAAAGTCTTTAAAAAAAATACCATTTTTTAAAAAGTAAGTTTAAAAAAAATTAAAAAATTTTAAAGTAAATTAGCGGTGGGGGCACCTGGCTGGCTGAATTAATAGACTGTGCAACTCTGAATGTTGGGGTCGTGAGTTTGGGCACTATGTTGCATGTAGAGTTTACTTCAAAGAAAGAAAGAGAATTCCCAGAGCACCTGTGTGGCTCAGTCATTAAGCATCTGCCTTCGGCTCAGGGGCTCAGGTCATGATCCCAGGGTCCTGGGATCAGGTCCTGGGATCAAGTCCCCCATCAGGTTCCCTGCTCAGCGGGGAGGCTCCTTCTCCCTCACCCACTCTCCCTGCCTGTGTTCCCTCTCTCACTGTTTCTCTCACTGTGAAATAAGTAAAAAAAATCTTTAGGGGGAAAAAAAAGGACTTCTCACTTTTAACTATAGAGAACAAACTGCTGGTTACCAGAAGGGAGTTGGGTGGGGGGATGGGTTGAACAGGAGATGGGGATTAAAGAGGGCACTAACTGTGATGAATGGGTGTTGTATAAAGCATTGAGTCACTATATTGTACACCCCAAATTAATATTGCACTGTATGTTAACTAACTGGAATTTAAATAAAAACTTTAAAAAGCAGGTGGGGGGGTTGTGCAGGGGAGGAAGACTTCTCTGTATCTAGAATTAGGTCCTCCAGGAAGTAGAAATATTGTGGTGAAGTGTAACACTGCTTGAGTATTTCTTGAACGCTTACTACCCATCAGGTGGGGACCAAGCTAAGTACTTTGCATGGATTATTTCTTCAAATTCTTCAGCCCCTAAGAGGTCTATTCTATCTCTAATTTTCAGAAGTTGAAACTGACACACAGAGAACTAGGAACCCCCCCAAAGTCCGAGGAGCCAGGCGCCTCCCCAGCTCCGCCTGCTCCCAGAGTCCACGATGCCAACATTCCCTCATCAAGCACTAATTTATTCAAACCTTCTAGTTTCAATGGCGAAATTGCTATCTTGCTCTGACTTGCTTCCCTTTCACGACTGGTGATGCTGGATATGGCTTTGTGTTTGCTGAGCTAGACACGTTCCTTTTTTGTTAATTACCGGTCAGGGGCCTTTCCCATAGTTGACTCTACCACTGGAAGAGTGAATAAAGTGGGACCTACGGGCTTAGCCCTGTAGTTCAAAAGAAAAACGCAAGGCACGGTTTTCTTTTTGGAAGTATGCTCAAATGTGGCGGCGGTTTTATTGATGGCCAGCACGACCCAGGGGACTCATGCCCAAGCTCCTCGACAGGAGTGCCCCGTTCTGTCCCTCGTTCCCACAACAGTGGATGCTGGTTTTCGTTCATTTCGACTTTTGGCATTGTCCTCTACCTCCCCGGCCTAGTTCCTTATCCTGAAACACGAGTGGTGAACCAGACAGCACGTAAGGCCCCCTCGGCTTTGAAATCCTGAGCCTGGGTACGGATTTGTGAGAGCAGCAGCACAGTGGAAAGCGACCTGGCTGTGGGGCTGGGTGACCCCGTTGGAGCAGTCTTTCTGTTCTTTCCTGCAGCTGGAGGGCTTGGACCCGCGCTCAGCTGCTCCCTCCCTGCTCTGTTCCTAAAGCACTTAGCCAAAGAACGGCTTCCTTTCCACCGTTATGTAGACAAAGACGACAATGATGAAGATACCAAGCACAGCGAGCTTCAAGCCCATGGGAAGAATTTCTAGGTTCCCGTACCCAAAACTCCTGTTCAAGGGGCAGTCGGTGGTCTCTCGGGTGCTCCGTCCTCTGCATCTGGTGTTTGATGCTCTCGTGGGTAACCTGTGAAAACATTAGTGGCTCCTAGGGCTGTGGACAGCTATGACTTGAGCACCCCTTTAACGTATGTGGGCCTTGGGCCCCAAGGGAGCAACCGTCGTGGGGCTACAAATTAGCGAGCAGCCCTCTACTTGTTTAAAACCTATGCTGATTTCAACAAGTGAGACTAACGAGGTATCACAGGGATGTGAGATCCCTAAAATCCCCAAAGGCATTTTTTAGTAGTACCACCCGTTTGCACAACGTCTCCCTATGTTGGCCCAAGGCCTGCCGCAGGGACCCGCAGACCCGTCAGCCCCCACTGGAAACGGGTCCAGGTGGACAGGGGATGCCAGGACCCACGCTCTCTCCTTTCTCTCTCCACATGTGTAAGGACTGCCTCTCAGGGGTAGGATGAGAAGTGCTTTCGAAATCTGCTAATGTTGATTTAAAAGGACAAGTGGGTACGTTCTGAAATCTCTTAGTGAGAGTTTATGTATGGACCCACTTGTCTAATCCTGGAAATCTGCCTAACTTTATTCAGACGTTCTGGAATTTTCCGGGAAGACTTTTCTTTCTGAACAACAAATAAAATGGCCTGTCTTGAGCTCTTATTTCAACTACCTGCTCCTTTTTTTTTTTTTTTTCCTCTCTCCCTATTTTCTAGGACATAAATAGGAATAAATGTCTTCAAAGACTACAGATCAAGACACGTGGATTCTGGTCTCAGTTTGTGGTGACTTTCGGTATCCGGCCTCTTTGGCCTATTTCCTTATCTCCAAACTTAAGTGGTGAACTAGATAGTTCTTGCAAAGTCCTTTCAGTTTTGAAATGATGAGCTATGGGGATGCCTGGGTGGCTCAGTGGGTTAAAGCCTCTGCCTTCAGCTCAGGTCATGATCCTGGGGTCCTGGGATCGAGCCCCACATCAGGATCCTTGCTTAGTGGGGAGCCTGCTTCTCCCTCCGCCTACTGCTTTCCTGCTCGTGCTCTCTTTCTCCCCCTCTCTGACAAATACATCAAAACTTAAAAAAGAAAAAGAAATGATGAGATACTACGAATCTTTTCTTTCTCAACAGATTCTTTTCAGCCTCAAGCCCTTCACAGAAATTTGAATAACAAATTTGTCCCCAGGAGTTGTATAAGACAACAGTATCCTCTCACATGCTAAGAAAAGCATTACCTTATTCCCTCAGAATGCTTATAAGCCAGGCAGTTGATATCTAGGGCTTTTGGTTTGGTGATGGAAGTCTCGAGTCTCTAATGAACAGAAAGAAAAGAATTTATTGTTTCCCAGGTCTGGTACAAAGGACTTTATTTTTTTTTATTCTAGAAAAAGCCATATACTCTGAGGACTGATCAATGTTTCTGGTACATCAGGTCTTTAGCCACCTCATAACACAAACTTCCAGTCTGCCTTTATTCAATAATTAGCAAAAACATTCCCATGCCGTGGAGTAATATTTTACTGCAGTGACTCATGCCTTAACAATAGACACTCTGGTAACGAACTCTTTATTTTGCTCTTCTTTGTGCCTTATTGCTTGGAGTTTTTTGTTTTTTTGTTTTTTTGTTTTTTTGTTTTTTTTTTTTTATGAGCAGGCATTTGTATATAAAGAATAATGTTATTGCTCAGTCAGTTGAGCGACCGACCCTTGGTTTTGGTTCAGGTCATGGTCTCAGGGTCGTGAGATCGAGCCCCGCGTGGGGCTCCATGCTCAGCGGGGAATCTGCTTGAGGATTCCCTGTCCCTTTCCCTCGGCACCCACCCCCACCCCAATTTGCACACTCATGTGCACCCTCTCTCTCTCTCTCACTCTCAAGAAATAAAGAACTCTTTTTAAAAATTAAATAAATTAATTAAAAATAAAAATAAAATGAAAAGCAAGCTGGCCATGGACAAAAACTGGAAAGTATGGGGTGCCTGGGTGGCTCAGTCATTAAGCATCTGCCTTGGGCTCAGGTCATGATCCCAGGGTCCTGGGATTGAGCCCCGCATCAGGCTCCCTGCTCAGTGGAAGCTGCCTCTCCTTCTGACTCCCCCCCCCCACCCCCACCCCCAACCCGCTTGTGTTCCCTCTCTCTCTCCCTCTGTCTCTCTCTGTCAAATAAATAAATAAAATCTTAAAAAACAAAACAAAACAGGAAAGTAATTTCAGAAAATGAAAATGCTGTCCTGTAAAAGGTATAGAAGTCAGGACAATCACATTTTCTGTTCTTTTCCCAAAACTTCCTTTCGTTTTGTTATTTTTCCAATAAAGTGAAAAGGTACAGCTCTCTATGCCTTTGTTTCCTTCCTGTGAAATAGAGTTGTAAAGATGGAGTGACTTACCACATGCAAAGTGAGGGGCGCCTGGGTGGCTCAATCAGTTAAGCAACTGCCTTCAGCTCAGGTCATGATCCCAGGGTCCTGGGATCGAGCCCCACATTGGGCTCCCTGCTTAGTAGGGAGTGTGCTTCTCCCTCTACCCCTCCCCCTGCTCATGTGTGCTCTTTCTCTCTCCTCTTTCTCGCTGAAATAAAGTCTAAAAAGAAAAAAAAAAAAAATATATATATATATATATATATGCAAAATGATTAAAACATCTCCTGGCCCATAGTCAGCATTCAATGCACGTTAGCAATAATGATTATTATTAGCAATAATGATTATGATTCTGATCATTATTATTAATTGCATGTTGCTGTTTTTCCTCATGTGTCTAGTTCAGCTGACTGTCCACTCATGGTTATGATGCGGGCCTCATCATCCTCAAACAATGTCCCGGGCAGGTGTTGTGTCTGCAGGACCGATGGTCTCAGCCCAAGGTGGGCTGGGGAGAGAGTATGGCGTGGTGTACCATCATTTATGACTGGTCACCCCCTTCCCGGTACTGGCCACGGATGCCCAAGCAGCTACGGCCTCCACCTCTCACCTCCACTCCCTTGCCTTGCCTTCTTAAAGAAGATGTTCTCTTTTTCTTTTTTTTTTTTTTTTAATTTGACAGACAGAGATCACATGTAGGCAGAGAGGCAAACAGAGAGAGAGGAAGGGAAGCAGGCTCCCCGCTGAGCAGAGAGCCCAATGTGGGGCTTGATCCCAGGACCCTGGGATCATGACCTGAGCTGAAGGCAGAGGCTTTAACCCACTGAGCCACCCAGGCGCACCAGAGATGTTCTTAACAATAGCTTAGTGATACCCAAGCCAGGCCTCTGCTGATGATGGGAAGCTATGCCCAGCACAGGAAGGCCACATCAAGAAAGCAGCCCAGTGCAGACACTACACACGTGCACACCTCTATGATTTCCCAGAAGAGGGGGACAATTGCAGAAAATGGACTTTGAAAATTCTCAAGGATCCACGTGGGCTTCTGGTGATTTGCTTACCAAGAGATGCTTCAAACTATTTCCAAGGGTGTAGGAAAAATCGTTTATAAGCACATTTTTTTTCAACCTTTTTAATTACAGAAAGTTTCAAACAGACACAAAAGTAGACAACAGGATAATGAGCCTCCACGTACCCATCACATGCAACTTCTTTTAAATTCTCCTACATGCAAAAATAGGTCTGTTCAACAAAACATTGGGGGTAGAAGTCTTTTGCAAAATCAAATTATAGGATTTCACAGCTCTTAGGCAATCCAATACTCCCTCCCTTCTCTTCCCTCCTGCCACAAGGAGGTTTAGGTCTTTGATTGCCTCTCCTTTTATCATTTCTGTCCTTGACTATCATTCACACGTAGAGTTCCCCCTATAGCATATGAAATGTGGACATTTGGGTTTTCAAAAAAGGAGTAATTATGGCTTATCAGCTTGACTGTTCATCAATAATAATAATAATAATGATTATAAAGTCAGGGTTATTGATCATGGCAAACAGAGAAGAGAATTATACGCGCATAGTGATGACGACCGGCTAAACTTACACCACGCCGTGCCCATAAACAACAACTAGAGGGAAATAGAAACAATGAAATGGTTTTTGTGTCAGGTGGCGTGTTTAGAGTTGATTCATTTTTCATTTAAAAAAAAATTCCTTTAATGTTGTTAAAATACGGTTTTCACTATAAATGCCATTTGCAATGGAACTAAAAAATATTGGTGTTCATTAAAGCAATGGTTTAGTGAGGATGAAATCGCCCCCCTGGGGGAGTGTAATGCTCCTTTCTCCCTATGCCCGGAGCTAGAATTTGAAAAAAAAAAAAAAAAGGAAAAAAAGTCTGGCTGTTTTCAAAGCATTCACAGCTAAGGTTGTGGCCGCCTCTGCTTCCCCACCCTCTTCATTAACCCCCTGGCATTCAAGTCAGAAAATGTCACCCATCCACATGTTATTGATCACTGCTGTAGTGACAGACGTAATAATCCTGAGATATGCCAATTCGATAAACAAGTGTCTTAATATAATCTTGACAGCTATGTAGTTATTTCCTGTGTACCAAGCACCACTCTAAGCATCTTACATAAATAAATCCATTTAATTCTCAATACCACCCTGTGAGGAAGGTGCTTTTATGGCGCCCATTTCACAGACGACAAAACCGAGGCATGGAGAGTTTAAATCACGTGCCCTTGGCCACACAGCTCGTGAGATGGCAGAGCCAGGAGTCAACCCAGGTGGCGTAGTCTCAGAGCCCCTGCTCATGCTCACTCTACTATCCTGCAGAAGGTGGATAATGAGGCTTTACTAGAAGAGAATTAGAAATATCATGTTCTGAGCATCTGTTGTCTTGGGCATTCAACATGCCCCCAGCCACATATTCTTTCTAATAACTCTGTAGTGACCATTTTATTTTATTTTATCTTATCTTATTTTAAAGATTACATTTATTTATTTGACAGAGAGACAGCCAGAGAGGAAACACAAGTGGGGAGTGGGAGAGGGAGAAGCAGGCTTCCCGCAGGAAGCCCTATGCAGGCCTTAATCCCGAGACCCTGGGATCACGACCTGAGCCGAAGGCAGATGCATAGTGACTGAGCCACCCAGACACCCTATGTAGTGGCCATTTTATAAATGAGAAAATTGAGGTTTATAGGAGTGAAACTATTTGCCTGGGTTACATGATTAGGAGAAAGCACAACTGTAAACAAACCCCCATATTCTGGACCCAGTGCTTTGTGTTCTTGTTTTGTAATATTTCTATTGGGGAAACTCATCATGAGAAACAGAGCAGAACATGTTTGTAAAAACCGTTCTCACTAACTGATAAATGATCAAATCATTAATTCATTTCCCATAGAAATGACACTTGTAGCCATCTGATTTCTTCTTATCTTCGATGAACTGTTCTTTTTTTTAGGAAGATTTTTCTAGATAAACTAATTCTGTGCTAATTCTGGCTTACTTAGTATATCCATGGAATCAGCAACCAGAGTGTGTATGAGATATTATGCCCTACTGTATTATAGGGAACTACAAAACCCTGGGCTAATATCCAGAACCAGACAAAAAAGAATCATTTTGTTTTCTCATTCAATCCTTACTCATCAAAAAATGTATTTGATTTTTGAAAATGATCTACTTTGACTTAAAACAATTCATTTTGGGGAATGAGGAAATAGAAGTATGTTTGCATATCCACGAGACATGTATTTGACAAGGTAGACCCCCCAAACCTAGCCAGAGATGTCATAGCCTGACCCGTGCAGTTACAGGCAATCAAGAGAGGGGGTGTCGGGCACCATGCCGAACGGTGCTAACTTCTTGCCCGCTCCTTTCTCTTCTCTCCCAGGACGACGACGACTACTACTACTTCTTTTTAAGATTTTATTTATTCATTTATCAGAGTGAGAGAGAGAGAGCACAAGCAGGGGGAGAGGCAGGCAGAGGGAGAAGCAGACTCCCCGCTGAGCGAGGAGCCCAGTGTGGGACTCGATTGCAGGACCCTGAGATCATGACCTGAGCTGAAAGGCAGATGCTCAACCGAACGAGCCCCCCAGGCGCCCTTTACCCAGGATTTCTTACTGCTGGCCTCTGGGCGTATCAGGAGGCAGTGCTGTTCCAGGGGTCGGGGATGCAACCCTTTCCTAACTACAACGTGTTACACTTTCCAATCACGCTAGTTCATGGATGCGGTTTTTCAAAAACAGCTTATACTATAGAAACGTTTTCACCAATAGCTTGACAAACTGGCCGTTGTGAACCTGCTCCCAGGCAGGAAAAATCCTTTTGATTTAGAGCTCTTTAATATTGAGTTAACCTCCAAGTCCTTTATTGACTAAAAATGATTCCATTAATAACAGATCCTACAGTAATTTCAGACTTTTACCTCATTGTTTTTACC